CCTGGTACTCTCACAGGAACTGCAACCCCCATCACAGATTTCAGGTACAAAGCCCTCTTGCTAGGCTACAGGTTTATTTAGTGTGCACAAAGTGCTTGTGACTGACCTGCTGTGCCGACACTTCATGCCACCACAATGTGGATTGTCAAGCAAACTGGAATGGGTACTCCCTTTCTTTCAGCCTTGACAGGAGAGAAAGAAGGGCTCAATGAGTGCAAAGTCTGCAATGCCCCTGCATGGGGCTGTCCAGAAACTTTTCTGTGAATTTCACAGCATCTTAATGGCTTTACATATAACCTTCAGAAATGTTTTTTGAGCGTCTGGAAGCTCAGGGCAGGCGTGAGCCTGAGCTACGCCAGCCCCCAGGGCTGCACGAATCACCAGCCGCAGGGCCAGGAGCCAGATGTTATCTTGCTCATTATTCCAGTAATTGCCATGCCTTCCGTTGTCCTCAGAAATTAGGAGAAAATGCTGTTTACAGTGTCTTGTTTGTCTCCCTCAGTGCCCCTTGCTGGGTTCTGTGAGGTTTCCATCAAATACGGTTCAGCAGCAGGCAGCTTTACTCTTAAATAAAACCAGGCGGCTGCCACGACTCTCCACAGTTGTGTCCCTGGGCATCCAGCTAAAGCACAGACAGGGAGAGAGCTGAGCCCCTCTGCACGGGTGGGCCCAGAAAGGCAGGGTGAGTGGCTGCTCCCTCGGTGCCACCAAGGAGCTCGTTTCAATCAAGCTCCAAGGGGCAGTTTGCCAGGGGCTGGGCTGGGCAGCACAGAGTGTCCAAGGCTGCCGTGGGGAGGAGTCTGCTGAGCACAGCCCAGGGAGCGGGGTGGCTTTGTGCTCCCCTTTCTTCTATATTGTAACTACAAGGAGCAATTCACCTTTTGACAAGCTAAGTATAGGAAAGTGTCAGGGTTTTCTGTCACCTTCCTAGTTTTCTGTCACTCAGGGAATGGAGACGGGCAAGGATGAGAAAGGGACGAGGACAGTCCCTGCTCCTTTTGAAGTGAGTGACAAAGGTCCCTCATTGCTTGAGGTGTGACTTCCTCTCCACAGCAAGCCTTGAGTCCTGCACATAATCTCAATGCGTCTGGCAGCACTTGGGTTCCTAGGAAATGGAAATGGAAATATGGATATCTGCCAGACACACACAGCTGAATACATTTGGCTGTCATTTGGTTGGCGTGAAACTCGCAATCTGACGCAAAGCGTGGGTGCCAAACCTGTGCTATAAGGGTTCACAGAAAAGACACATATAAACATATATGAAAATGAATGCAGGTCTTTTCCCCAGACAAGCATCCATTGAGATGGTCTGGGTTTTGGCTGCCTAGAAGCTTTTCCCAAGTCAACACTTGCCAGTGTAGTTCCTGAGAGTGGACAGGACCTCCAAGCTACCTACTTGTTCCTGGAGGTTATGAAAGTGGTCTTTGAGCAATGTAAAGCATTTGTGTGGTCACAGCCAGCAAAGTTTTGCTCAGTGGTTAAATAGCAGATGTCAGCCTCCAAAACTGCCAGATCGGCAACTGTCAAAACTACTAACTACCATAAACCGTAAAATCCACAGATGGCCTTTTTCAGAGCAACTAAATATTAACTTTGTGTGCATCTCAAAGACTGGGAACTGAATTTTCTAGCCTTCATCCCTCTTCAGTGTCTTCCAGGCAGATACTGTCAGCAAAAATGAGGGTGAGCTCCCAGGAGCCTGGTTTGCAGATGGATGTGGGAGAGCAACATGTTTTAGCTGTTGCTGACCTCCTGGTTTTCCAATAGCTGGAGAGCATATTTGGGGCCCAGTAAAGAGATGGGCTTGGTCAGGTTTCCACACTAAACCGGATTTTCAGTCTGGCAAGTCAGTGGTTTTAAAGACAAAACTTGGTCATTGCTGAGGCATTACTTTACAAGAGGTATCAACAGTTTCAAGCAGGTCTCATAAGGACATCAGACTTCTGCCAGGTGTGAACCCCTGCTCCCACTCTGTGAATGAAACCTTTCCTTGCTGTCTTGCCCCAAATCAGAAGTATGTGGCATTGAGACCTGTAAGGCTCCAGATTTGACCAAGAGGTTTGACCAATTGATTCAGCTCATCAAGAGCTCCTCACCATCAGTTCTGTCTTAGACAAAGTCTAGGACTTGCACAAACCATTTTTCTGTTTTTGTCTCTGTAAGGCACTTCGGGCTCCTTAATACTGATGCGGCTGCATGATAACAGCAATGAAGATAAATTACCTCAAAAGAAGGCAATAAGCCTTTTAGCTCTTTAGAGCAAATCAGAGCCATTCTGAACAGCCCACAGACTAAAGAAATGGCTGTTTATCTTCATTTACAGCTACTGTGGAGAGGCACAGCATGCAAATTCACCAGCCTGGGGCAACAACTGAGGTGGCACAGGGCTTGCTGCTCTAAGAGGGGAAAGGAAGAGACTATCTCCTCCCCACCACCTTTGCCAGCTTTTGCCACTGTATCCACCTCAATATTTTTCCTTTAAAAGAGGTCACCATAAACAGCTGCATTCCTTGCCACTGCGACTGCTAGATCTGCCACTCTGCTGTATTATAATAAGATAGAAGAAAGGACCTTATTAAATTCTCATCCAACTGTTAACCAAATATTTAATGCCTAACACCCTAACATGCCCCTCCTAGAGTAAGGAATATGAGAAAATCATCTGCCAGCAGATGATGTGTCTTAAAGGATGTTTTGAATTATATGGGTTTTTTTAAAAATCTCTCTCACAGAAAATAACATCTGTGATTTTCTTCCAGTGGGAAGAGCTCCGTGTCCTTATCGGGGCTTATCCAGGTGTTGGTGGGCATGTGAGATTTTCCCAGAGAGCTCATTCACATCTTGTCCTGCAAGCAAGGTGCTGTCTTAATTATCAACAGGGAATGCCACAAACATGAGCTGAAGGCAAGCAGATATTGTGCACACCTCAGTAGCAGCTGAACCTGCCAGCAGTGCCTCTCCAAGAGAGGAAAATGTCTTGAGTAATGGACGCAAATTTTTTATCACTCCCATGGTGGCCAAGGGAAATGTGACACAACTGCTAAAAGTGATAAAAAAATACTTATGAATACATCTTTTATATTATATGTATATTATATTTGTTTGGCCTCAGATTTTTCCCCTACGCACAGATGTAAAAGAGCATACTCTGTGTATATGCATAACCAGCTTATGTAAAAGCCTGACCATTTCATGTCTGTGTTTTCTCTGTGTTTCTGGACAGCAGCAGGGGAGAAGTAAATGCTGCTCTGCTTGCTTGTGGTATTTCTATCATTGGTACCAAACCCTTCAATTCCTTACTGTTTTCTGGTGAATTTGCTTCTCAGTAACAAGTAATACTTGCTTGATAGAACCGCTTTGGTCATTTTATTTTCAGGTTTGATATTGCTCTCTTGCTCACTTTCACTGTTACGATACCACATCCTCTTGTTGGTCAAAAGCATTATCTGGTACGAAATACCATTAAATGCTCTTACCTAAATTGAAAGAGTCAGGAGGAGGAGGCAGATATATTGGTAAGATAAAAGTAAACATTTAATGCCACTATAGTTTGATTTTTTTCCAGACATCATATTTTTGACAATGTTTCACACCTCAGATACCACAAAAGGGATATTTTTTAGCCAGCAAACAATAAACTTTACAATTTTAATGGCAAAAGGTTCAATGCATTTGTTGACAAACTTGGAAATGGCTGTGACTTTCCACATTTTGAACTTGTCCTCATGCTGTTCTTTCTCCTTTTTTCACCATAAAATTTAGTTGATTATATATATATATATATACTACTGGTACATCCTCTTCTGGAATTGCCCAATGATGGGACCAGAATAAGTTCCATATCTATCAGTTTCTCTTCTCATTAGCCCTATTTTATATGACTATTATAATGAGAAAGAACATAGCCACAGACAGAGTGAAATGGATTTAGCAAACATACACTTCAATGCATAGCACTTAGATAAGCATTTCCAACCATGATGTGTAAATAAATTATAAAATACAAGCAACTCTATAAAACAAGAACATCCTGAGTTTACAAATAAATTATATCCTTCATACATAGAATATGATGTGGATGTGGATGTGGATGTGGATGTTAGTAACCAGCAGTTTCAGCTATGGGAGGGAAAGAAGTAAAATGTAGAAAAGTTAGTATCTATGCATACATAAAACATATATGTATGTGTGCTACACGTAAATACACACATACATATACAATAAAGCAGGTGAATACATCCATATCTATAGTATATAGAGAATATGTAATATAGCTGAAACTGCCTCAAGCACCAATTTATTACCATTATTATAAAGTTTGCTCAATACTTAAGTAGGACCACTCAAAGTAAGATAGTTTGGGTTGTGTTTTATTTCCAGTCCAGGAGGGTTGGAAGGTAGTTTGAAATACTATAGCTGAATGCTACTGAATGCTACTATTACACTTGCAGCACCTCCATTCTTTGAAGAATCATCATGCCTTTTGTGAGCTTCAAAAGTTTGCATAAGTGAGCATGGGACTGCTGTTTGTGAATTTGGTGGCAAAAGGGTGCTACATTTTCAAGGGAAAATTAATTATTTTCTTGTTTTGAAAGGTTGCTTGAGAAGGAGAAAGAAGAAAAGATAAAGACAATAATAAAATGGTTTATTATTTCCAGGAACAGGTATGGAAGCTCAGATAACCCTGGGATGAGCACACAATAAATGCAAGAGAGAGAGATTATTAACTTTGCATTGACAAATGATTCACAGTTTTGTTTGCTATGGTTATTTGGAAACCTCGTACAAATCTTAGGATAGCTAGCAACAGCCAGCCTTGTGTCTTCAAAAACTGCTGTGTGTTGCCAATGCAAAAGCCTGTGGAGTTACAAAACACAGACCATGAGGACATCAGGATTAATTCATCTACACGGGAACTGCAGCAATTTGGCTACATTGGCTGAAGAACCTGGGTGAGAAAGAACCTTTTAAATAAGCCCTTGAAAGAGTTTCAACCCAGGCTGTGTGCATGTGTATTTATCCGTGCACGTACAACTTTTGTTTCTATAATGATTTTTAGCACATTAAAAAAGATGCAGTAAAATCACAAACATCTGTAAAAGGTGATTTTTGTAAAAGAGTCTGTATTTTTCAGCTGTCATCACATTTGAATTCCATGCCACAGGTCCCTACTTTAAGACAAGCCATATTATTGAGATAAATGAAAAAAGTGAAAAAGTAAAACCCACACTTCAAGATAGACTGACTATGCCCTGTGAGCAAACATGGGATTTGGTGTGTATTACTCCCAGCATCAGTCCCAGCTTTCAGCCTCTATAATTGCCACATTTAGAGATAAAAGAAAAAAATGCCAGTGTGTATCTTTGATCCCTTTTCATACATTTTATGCAGCTTTCACTAAGAATCATGTCAGAGGATCATGCCATTACTTGGTACCAGTTACTATTTTATGGACCTGCAAGTTTCAGAAGCTAGGATTTATGGCAGTGGGTCTTCTAAGACTGGATCGAAGATAGATGTTCAGCAATAGTCCTGTGTCCTTACACAAAATGAAGGGGTGTTAAATACATAAGAGTAGCATGTATGATCTTCTACTATATTACTAACAGTAAATACCCCAAAAAATTGCAAGTGGATATATTTTCCTCACGACTGGGTTTACTCTGTCATAATTCTTCTGATTCTTAATGCAATTGTGCCTCAGTTTTATCAGAGAAGGTGAGATGAGAAGAAAACCTAAGAAAGGAGAACATTAGTTTCCTTTCTTGTCTTTCTGTAAAGTAATACTTTGGATTACTTGGTTCTGAATGAATTGTCAAGGAATTGTTTTGAAGCAAATGCCAGGCATATATGGCAAAAGAAAATACATGTGACAAATGTACCAGGAATTAGGGCTCTCCCACACCCTTCAGAGCACAAAGACATCTGAATCCATGGTCTTGAAGCCCAAGTCTCCAGCCTATGGTTACACTTGATTTTATGGCTATAGAGCAACTCCTGTCCCTTGTATGAATAAGGTTTGTGTATGCCAAGAGCAGGAGTTGTCAGGAAGTGCCCCAGGTGCTGGTGGGGATGTGGAGCAGTGCTGGTGTTCCACAGTCATCTCACAGCCTGACAATGAAGAGCTGTGATCTCCTGTGACACGTGCAAACAAAGAATTAACCTTCAAACCTAATAACATTGACAGTGCTGTTCCCTACTAAAGCTGTTCCAGGGAAATAAGATTGATTTCTGAATGTGAAAATGATGAGGCATTACATTCATGTTGCTCTTGTGTATTTTGGGCAACATGATGCCTTTTAAAAAATCAGCATAAAAACAGCACTATGCTGGCAATGCCTTAAAGAATGGGACTTCCTAGGTGACTTGCAGAAGTGTATGTGTCTTCTCTAAAATGCTGGCTACTGCAAACTGTCATCAATTTGATAATAAGGTCCTGAATGCTTTGATTTATGTGTTTTGCAAATACTTGAATTACAATAATATAAATTCTGAAGTAAAAAGCTGTTTTCAAGAAGAAAAAGATTTATCATGTCAAATCTCCACAAATTTATCATTCCTTATTTTGTATTAAGCTATCACAGTTCTCAAAAACATAGTGGCAAATTCTGAAATGAAATGACAGAAAGTCAAGAATGCATATGGATTTTAGAATATGAATACTAGTATATTATGGGAGTTAACAGCTACTCTGATTAGGTCCTCAGGAATAAAATATTTATAAGTACTGTGATTCTGCTCAATTAGCATATATGTTTTAGTATGCAAAATTCATCCTTGGTGTAATCAGTTTGGTTTCAGGGATCAATTTTTGTCCATCATGATAAACAGGGTGAACATATGCTCTTACTCTTTAAAATAATGGTTAGGTATGCCTAACCATAAAAAATGCCTCCTAATCTACAGAAGCACCAAATCCAGAGTCAATGAATAATTGAGTTCATGAGGGTGAGGGATATTATATGCAATAGGTATTTTACAACAGCTCCGAAATGTGTCCACTTGATTTATAGAAACATCACCACTCCTGTGTAAGTCATGAACTGTGTGCAGGGAGGATTTCCTTGGCTCTCTGCAGCTGTACTCAATCCATGGGGCTCTGCAGAGAAGAGATGGCCTCCAAAGAACCAATACATAGTAACTGCTACTGAAATTGCTATAAAGAGAAGAAAGCCAGTTAAATTGCATTGTTTGGGGGGAGGATTTTCAGAGTTGGTTGGTTTGTGGTTTTTTCTTTGAGAGAAAAAGGGATATGTTTTTAATACTTCATTTATAAATTTCATTATAGGAAATTGCTGTGGAACAGACTAGAAAGTGACTTTCACACAGGACTTTTTTTTCTTTCCAAATAATCCTATAGATTTTAAGTAGAATTTTCTACAAAATCCAGTGACAAGGGTAATAAAGTGAGTAAGATTTGTTATTAAAAGTTGTAGAGCACTAAAATAAAATAAAACTATACAAATGTTACTTCTACCTTTTAAAAAAGCTTTTCCATTCACTAACCACTAAAAAATCTACCAGTATTATTTTTCCATTGCGACTTGCTGCTTGGGGTGTTGTAAGACAGCACTGATATGATGGTGCAGGTAAAAAGAGTTGCACTTAATTACAGTAGTTAATTGATGCATTTTGAGTATATTGAAAGAGACTCTTATTTCCTCATAGGCAACAGGAGAGTAACACAAATCTATGTGAGAGAGGAATTTTTGTGAATGTGCTTATTTCAGTATAGAGGAATAAGAAACCTAATTCAACAAAGTAATTCTTTATGCTCATATGTAATTAAAATGCAGGTTTGGTACATTTGTTTATGAAATACAAAGAATGTTCCTTCCCACATACTGTTTTGTAGATAAAGGGGCCAACTAGTAGAATAACTGGATGTGTATGGAGCTGCAGACCCTTGTCCTTTTGATGTCAATGTGAATTTCGCCATGGCTTCAGGACTAGTAAAGGATGCCACAGCCATCATGCTTAAAGTGCTGTATCTACTAATTTTCTTTATTTCCAGATGTGCTGAGCTGAGCAGAGTCTGTACTTCTCAGGTACATCTGTGAGTATGGACACACTGGGCCAGGGTTCAGAAGCTGACGAACAGTGGTGTGTGTCGTAAAGAGGCAGAGCTAAATTTGATCGCTCATAGTCTCAACAAAGAATAAATCACTCATTTTTGGACTGATGAACATGGGAACCCTTAGCGAGAGGACAATTTTCCAGCACATTACTAGCACCAGAAAAAAGGGTTAGGATAAAAGTACTTCCTCATTCATAACTCCAGCCAGTACAAAGCAAAACATATATGAAGAAGAAAACAAGTTATGAGGGTTGGATCAAATCGAAAAGATATTTACTTCACAGTAATGTCACTTCTCTCTCACACACTGCAAAACCTAAAAGGCTGGGAAAATGATGGTGTTCTCCAATATATAAGAGAGTACAGAAAAGCATTTAAACAAACCTTACTCTCTGTTAGAAGTATGTTTGTGTCATCTGGGAAAGCTGAATTTCTCTTTGAGTGGCCTTACTCTGGTAACAAGAAAAGACAGTTAACATTTATTTATATGTTGTACTGATTAGGAAATATCTCTACAAACACAAGTTACTTAGAAACAGCAAGTCTGAAATAGGAGAAAACACCAAGAGAAAAACAAGCTGTAAATACATTTCAAAAGTGTATTTGCTTTTTTTTTTTCCTTTTTCTTTTCTTGACTAGCACCATCTGTACACAATAAAGTATGAACATAAATGTTTGGGTAACAAAGATTTGCAAGGCACTTGATCAGTTTTTCTGGATAGGTTTTGTTTTAATGAACCTCTCAATGGAAGTCCCACAACCACCTTTCCTCCTTCCTCAGCTAATGCAGCGAAAGAAGTGTCTTCTGCCAGCAGTTCTTATTTACAGACATTAAAAGGTTCCACAAAGTGCTCTTTTAGGCTAAGAGTATCAACAACCTTCTCACTCCATTTTCCATGCTTGTTCTGTTTGTTTTTTTAATACTACTCCTCTGTATAATATAGCAAATCTCTCATACGCACAGCTGAGACTTGACTCCAACCTTCATCCTCTTTCTTTTGTCTTTGGGATGCTGTTTGCAAGGGAAAAGGAGGATGGCAGAGATGCACATTGAAATTCTCTTGAGGTTCATACTTTATCGGCGTCTAGATGTGATGTCAAAACAGGTGATCATCATGAGATGGGCCTTGCAGAAGTTGACACGGTTTTCCAAACGCTCAGTCACACATTCCAGGGCCTCCAAGTATTCCAGGGAATCCAGCTCAAATACCTGCTCCAGATCAACTGTGAGAAAGAAAATACACAGATAGGAAAAGAAGACAAAGCTTAGTGATGGCAGGTAGGAGAGTCAGAGCTAAGTCTTCAAACTCATCATATATGTGCAACATTACCTAATGGCTTGCCATGGTCTTTAAAAATTGCCTTTTCTGTTTAATGGTCATTAACATGACACAACAGCTTGTCCATAGTGAAAAGTACTTTTAAGTTGCACTGGATGCTTTCTGGAGTGATCTGCTCTGCCATCCTCACCAGAAGTGCAGATGCCTTTGCTGTGCTCCATCATTCTCCAGCAGATGTTGAATGCTAAGCATGTAGTGACTTTCTCACCCATTCTGCTGACCAGAAAGAGCTTTAAATAGCTGCTCTCTCCTGGGAGGGAAATCCCTTTGTTGAATTCAGAACTTGGAATTTAAAATAAACCTATAGGCTCCTTGATCCTCCTACCTCTCCCTATTCCATGTGATTCCCACTAGACCACTGCAAGGGAAGGGAAGGCACACACATCAATCCCTCCAACACAGGTGGCCAGCAGCTTCCATGGAAGCTAAGTGTGAGATACATTGTCTGAGCCAGCACTGCCCATCTTTTCTGGTTCCTAAGGTCTCTGCAACCTTTCAGGCTTTCTGCACTTAGCATATTGAAATTAGAGGCAAAGGCATCACACAGAAAGTGGACAGCAATGCATAGAAAATTCTCTTTCTCTTTAAAACTGTCCTTTTAAACTCTTTTCCTTTATAGTGTTCCTGAAACCTATAGTGTGTTTGTTTTGCAGGATGTACCAATCTGGTATCAACTTAAAACAGCTGTCAAAGGAAGAGTTAAGGATGTTGTAAGGGAACACACCAGCCAGCCTCCTTTTGCCACTTGAAATTATCCTAAATAAACTTTTGCATATTGTGGGGATTTTCTAGAACTCTTTGATATGAACTTAGCTGCTTGCTACTATTAAAAACCATTGTATAACTACTACAGTATTCTTTATGTTTTTTTTCCTTAGAGGTGCTGAGGTCCTTCTTCATTTGAATGTGAATGCCCTTTTTCATGTAAGCCCACTACTGCCAAGGGACAAGTTTGCTCCACAATGTCATTTTGTGGTAGAAGAGCAGATTTATAATATTGCTCATATGTTTGAGTGATCTGAGGCCAAAAAAAAAAAAAAAATCTCATTTTCAGGAGCTGTGGACTGAAACGTGTGAACGTTAATCTACCAATGGCAACATCCACCACTAGAATGCTGTAACATTTCAACATTCAGCTCTCAGGCAAAAAGGATCTTTCAGTTCTACTGTTAACATTTAATAAGAATTATAGGAACTAGGTCTTGAAAGACAGTCAATCTAAAGCTTACCCTTAGGTCATATGTTGGTTCATTTTAGTTTACAAACAGTAGCTTACATCTCACTCTTACCAGACATTTTTGCTTCCTTCCATCTCCCCTATTAAATAAACCAAAGGACTCCTATGAGTTCAGGCAATAAAACGATGCCCTTACATTCACTGAGCCACTTGTTAGGATCCAGCATCAGGTACTGTTTGGTCACCTCCAGTTCTCTCATTAACCACTCATACTTGGCCTTGACCTCAGTGATTCTCTGCTGGCGATGCTCGAGGATTTTCAGCTTGGCATTGAAACATATCACCTCCTGCCAGCCAGGAAAAAGAAGCAAGGAAAAAATAGGTGAAGAGGAGAAGAAATACCCAGGTCCATTTGGTGAAATGATCTTCCAATCAATAATACTGACAATGAGCCATTTATTCTAGAAGCGTGAAATCATCCATCATCTGCTCTTTTTTTATTGCTTTTGTTTGGTTTTCATGTTTTCTATCAGTGAGGTTTGGAGACTTTGCAATGGTAGTTAATAATAAACCATAATAATTAATAACAGGCAGCATCTTGAAATTACATTAACTGTAGGAAAACGTTCTGGTTTTCTTACTGCAGTTTGGCTAAGAAAATCTAAGCTCTTGGGAGTAGGAAATCCTTTGCTTGCTGTATTGAAAGCCTAAATACACCCCTGTGCTTGGTGCATAAGTAATGCATTAGTCATATTTTAAAATAAGAGAACTGGTAGCAATGTCAAATTTGAAACATCCTTAAACAAAGGGAGTATGTTATGAAAAGCTCTAGCAATTCACAATCATTAATAAAGAGGATATATTTTTTGCAAACCTCTGGGGCACAGTAACAGCATGAGGTGCAGTGCTAGAGACAGCCAGCCTGGCTTCACATGACTTCTGAGGGGTGGCAACCACCAAGATGTGCAGCAAATGAAGCCATCTGAGGACTGTGCAACCCTTACTAGTGTGGAAGCAATTCCAATAACAGAACTATCCTCGTCCAAGCCGTGCAAAGGTTTCAACACTATTTCATGTTCTCCTCTGTAAACAAATCTGTTGCGGGTGAAGTGCAGTGGAAACCCCACTCCAACAAGTTTCTCCAAACATCACAAATAGTTTCAACGAGTGTCAGAGGCTAGGAAGAAAACATGCCTTAAAATAATAATGAAGTCTATAATCCATTGTTATTCTAAAATACTCAACCTCAGATACTCCTCCCAGTCTTATAAGTGCTGACCTTTGCAATTCACACCCTCCAGGAGATTACACGGATTGTGCTCACCTTGCTGTCCCCACCTCGCCGTCTCTGGAGCCTCTCCACATCATCTATCTCATAGACTTTGATCTCAAAGGGCTCCCCCAGCCCCCTTTGCCCACTCCGCAGCGGCCCGTCCACCCAGCGGACCCCGGGGCTATTGGCAGGCTTCCTTGCTGGGGAGGCAGTGTCAAGGGATAAAGCTGGAATAAGCCTCCTCCTCTGTGAGCCTGCAAATGGAGAAAGTGCCATTGCATGTTAGCACAGTTATTTCTTCTCTTTTCCATTGAAGAGAAGTGAACAAATGATACGTGCTTAGCCTTCTCTGACATAGAAGAAAATGGAAGGAAAACCCAGGGAGGCCACGGGAGCTGTAGCTGCAATACACACTCACCATGAGTGACACCCTCAGTGTTCCTTGGTGCCTGACTCCAGGATTTGACACTCAGAGGGCACACATACCCTGAAGTTTACAGAGCCTGTGTCTGCTCCCCACTGATTAGGTGTCAGCACATGCGGGTAAGCCGATGAAGGACCCAAGCCAGCAGGATGGAACTGGTCTAGCCTGGCTTTCCAATCTCTTTACGGCTACTGACCCTTAAAAGAACAAGCATTAAACAGTCTCTGCAAATCATCTGCCACATAAGATGCCAAGTCAGGGCCTGCGGTAGAGCAAGGAGGAACATGTATGTCCTTGGCCTAATGGAAGTGGTTTGTTGGGAGAAAGAACAGAAGCACACACCAAAGAATAAAACCAGCTGGTTGCATTTCCTTGCTTGGTTTAGTACAATTAGAGCAATGGCTTGGTTTAAAAAAAAGCAAACAAAACCCAAAGTTTTGTCGCTGGCACAGTGTTCCCTAGGACAGAGCAGGAATTAAAAGGATAGGAGAAGCCAAAAACAAAACCCAGAGCCATCAAGTTTGAATGAAACTGTTAACTGGCTTTCTTGGCTACAAGTACATAAGTGATGCCAGCCAGCAGGGAAGAGATGCCAAATGATCATGCAGATTTTATTTTAAAAATAAGATAAAATCATTTACAGGAATTTCCCACATTACATTTATTGAGACTTTAATGTAAATAGTTTCAACATGTCTGTCAACTTGGTGCATCAATAAAAGCTAAAAATCCCCAAAATATCTACTGATTGCCTAATTTTTGGATTTTCAAGTAAGTATTGCCTAGTTTCATTCATGGAAGTCTGCTTCTGTGGTGACTTTGAGAACTATTCACATCTTATCCCATGATTTCTGAGTACAACAGTACTAAGTACTGAGTACAACTAGAAACCAGTAGGTCTGTGTTAGAGACAAGTAATTGAGCTTTTAAATGGATGAGAATGGTCTACTGGAAAGCCTAGTCCACAGTGCTTTTATTTGGATACATCTGAGATAACCCAATGCAGGAAAAAGAGAGCATAGCCAGAGCTGATTGATAGAGAGTTCTGGGTAGACAGGGAGCTCTACAAGGCCCCTTTATACCAAACAACCTGATATTGTCATCCTATGACACTTATCATAGTTGTGTTTATTCCAAACTGCAGCCCAGCAAAAAAACTCATGCCAGAACAAATGAAGCCTTACAAATACCAGCAAGCAGAGTTATTTTAGTTCTGTGGTACCAGTCAGTGGAACACAATGTCAGCATTCCCTTACCTTGAATGCATTTCAGTTAATCTCTAGATTAAACTGCCTGACCAAGAGAAGAGTCAGATCTTGATAAAAGGAAAAGCAAGACCTGATCCATTACCATAGCCAAAAATTAACAAAAGAGACAGTTTGGGAAGACCGCAACAAACTTAATTCTAAGTGTGACTCTTGTCAGCAGTGCTAGAGAAAGGTAACCAAATGCTGGGAGCAGCTATACACTTGAAGGGAGGTGAGAGAGAGTGTGGTGGACTATTCAATTTTATTACACGCAGGGAGAGATCCTGAAATAGGCTCAGCCCCTCCTGAGAAACAAGTCCTCCACTTGCTTAGATGGGAAGGGTCCTGAGTATAATCCAAGTGTTAAGATCAAAAGGATTCAGGCATTAAGTATGGTTTTAAATACTTTTGAGGCTTTTGGCCATGGTACCTCACAGAAGCAGTGTCTCAAATTTTGTCTGAGTATAAATACAATCTCTTTGCGGTTTGACAACTTTTAGAGCCAGCGATATCTACAAGCATCAGATCTGATCTTCTGTTTAATGCACCCAGTGCTGTCAATAATTTTTTCTTTCTGCCCCACAATAATGGTCACATCTCCTTTCCTGACATGCCTTCAGACCAGCTCTAGCATTTCAAGGAAGCAGCTGAGCAGACTGGAAATTCCTTCTGCCCAGCTCTCCATGCATGGCTGGATTATGACTAAGGTAGTGCCTTTTTCTGTGATGTTTGATTTTCTTCCTATTTTCCCCACGGTGGCTGTTAAAACCATCTTCTTGTTCAATGAAGCACTTTTAAACCATCTCACTGGAAAAACTCTGTCTCCAGCCAGAGTTGAAGTCCAGGCCCAAGACTCTCTGGAAATGCAGGTGGATGTCTCCAATGCATCTTGCCACAAGAACAGCATCAGGCTCCTTCTTGAAGCAAAGCAAACCAGATTGCTGGGGTATGAAGTAGAGGAATGATGGTAATTTTTTTTGCATTTTGTACTCATTCATACCCATTTGGCTCAATGGGAAGCAGAATCCTGTAGTCTAGAAGGAGGGCTCCAACCTGAGGCACCCTTTAATAGCACTTAGCCCTTGGGAGAGGGGCAGCTGAGAGTGCAGCTGTGGCAGGAGACATTAACTCATTGTGGTTTTCTAACCAGAGCTCATGTCTGGATTGCCTGTGGGTTATGATAACAGGACAGGCTGCAGCTCATGGTGCACTGGGGCAATGCAGCAGGGCAGAGCTGCCTCACACAGCCACCTTGCCACCCTCTGCCAAGGGACACTTCTGGGACACAGGCCACCTGCCCGGGGCTTCCAGGGGTATGAGACACAGAGGAGAAAGAAAAAGAAAGAAAAAGAGAGATGTCTCTTTATCTGCACCTTGAATGCTGACTCAGGATGATTTACCTGATGTGTAGAGGAGAAAACAAAATTAAAGATCTTCCTTTTTCTAGTAAAGTAAAACTGGATCTAGTTTGCACTAAACATGCACTGCTGTTTAGCAGCCCCATTACAGAAAATAATGGTGCCATTTGACAGGATACTCCTGCCACTGAGGTCTTCATTTAGTCTCTGATTTTTATCTTATTTTACCATAACTGAGATCAGCAAGGACATAAAACCTAAGCAGAGCTTTGGGGTGAATATCAGAAAGCAGCTGACAGCTTTCTCATTCATAAAAACACACAACAATTAAATTGTTAAAATCAATGCAGTTTTCTATTCATATAGAAAATATCCATCTGAAGTTCCAAATTTACTGGGTGCACTCGATGGAGTTAGGATCTCATCAATTTTGACTGTATAATAAATAACATGCTCTGTGGGAATTGCAGCACACTACTCCTCTATTCCCCATGTATGACTTATGAAGAAAGTAGGCAGCCAGGGAGCTCAACAGGGACAGATCTCAGCACCCTCCCATCTCTGCCTTACCTCTGCACCTTGACAAACTGACCCTCCCACCATGCAAATAGAATTCATTCCTCCATACAAAAAAGAAATTGATACCAAAAATCAATCTGAAAGAAACCCAGAAAGATGAACCCATGGTAAAATTACATCACATTCATTTATGACCATGCAGTACATAAAGCAAAATGCCTTTTTCTAAATGCCCTGAAGGATACGTTTTTCATTTAATTTGAATTTACCCACACTCAGCATAACCCATCTTGAACCTAGCCTGAGTATGAATAACCAGGCTGTGAAATAGCCATGAAAATACACAGGATACAAGATTTGCTTTTGAGACAGATCTATTGCTCTACCTTAAGCTATAGGTTAAAGTTTGGCCAGGTTAAGTTCAAGATAAAGAGAGTAGCACAGCAGTGAAGGCATGCAGTGTGAAAGTAGATCTGACTGAAGAGTGGCACTGAAGCTACAATATGTTTCAGTAATATAGTAAAGGTAAGTAAGTAAAGGTAAGAGGAGCCTTAAGGTATGAGAAATACTGACCAAGGTACGTGAGGGTAACTTTAAGGATAAGAAGGCACACTGACCTCAGCAGAATTGACAAACTGCAAAAGGATGTGTGCTCATAAATGTGTTGACCAGGGCAAAAGCTCTAAAAAGTCTGGTTTTGCTTAAGTACTGTATATTTTGGAGAGCTCCCCTTAGGCTGCTTTCCAAGCACACATTCCAGATTGAGCATCTTTTCTCTGAAAAAGGTAAAGGCAAAAACTGCAAGAACAAAATCTTAATGAAAAACAGTGTGACGTTTATCTCTTCAAAGCAGAATACATCCAAATGGGATGCAAAACAACTGCTGTCTAGAAATTTCAAGGTGCTTCAAACAGAAAAAGAAACTGTAACTTGATATAACATCATTTCAGAAGTTTGTATTGTATGCTCAAAGGCGGGATGTGGAGCCAAAGCTATCCCCCACAGTGTTTAATGTTATAGGATGTAAAACTGCCTTTCTGTACAGAACCTGTTCTTCAGTATTTTAGTTTTTCTCACCAGACAGTCCAAGGAAATTACAGAAACCAGACCTGGCTAACTAGAGCAGTACCCTTAAGCTCACACTATTCCTTCTGTGGCTCCAACATCAATAGCACCGATGCCAGTTGTAGCATCAAACTTTTCTTACTAGCAAAGATTATCTATCTTATTTCCTCACTATCCTGCTGCTCCTCACTGACAACAGGGCTCCTGCTCTGTTTGAGTTGAAAATGTGATGCTGACTTTGCCTCTCATTTCCTAGTGGGATCTGCCCTTACGGTCAATTGTCCATGACTGAAACAACTCCTCCCCTTTCCTTTGACCTCTTTTCTCCTAGTTTATTTTATGGTGTACTTTGCCCAGTGCAGAGCATACAACTATTCACTCCATGGATTTTCATATATTTTGCACAGTTCCCCTCCTGAAAGGGAAGTCCCTTCAGTGTTTGAAGGCACCTCTTCAAATGATGTGGGGACTTCACCAGAAGTATTTAGGGTGCCCATCTTGAGGTCAGCATTCCAAAGAACCAAGGCCTATATTGCCAGAAAATCTAAACAGCAATCACTCATCCTCACACTCAGATTACACAGATTGCATAGAATGGGCCATGTTGCACCCAAACACCTGGAATATGATACAATGAGAGG